GACCAATACAGATTTTGAATAGTTAAATATGTGTATTACTAGATTCAGTCTTTAAAAAAGATTTTTAAAGAGTCTTTTTTAAAAGAGTTTTGGAAGCAAATGGCACCCATTTGGTGGAATGGCCCAGCTTACTTCCGCATTGCGAAATAAGGTGGATATATTTAGTGTTAAGAGTTTGCTCCCAAACTTGCCTTGTTGCCATTATGTCTTCATGGATGAAGAATACTGACATCACCTGTCTCTTTTCATTCATGCCTGAGTATCACAAGCCAACAGGCGCAAAATGAGTGGAGGTGGTGAAAGACTCCCGTGTGACGTGTCAGGAAGGAGGAAAGGAAGATTTGGAAACCTGACAAATAACACGTCCTGAGGAGAAAATCTTCTGTAGTCATGTGCATGCACTTTGGGACCAATAATACCTGAGGCCCCTATTGAACATCAAAAGAGTTTAAATGCTAATGCCACTGAATGGCAACCCAAGTTAAGTGCTGAATTAATTAAAAGACAGCCTGTCTGTAAGATCTTCCACTTCGCATGTCAAAGTATTTGTCTGGGTGATATTGGTTTGAGTGTCAGCTAATTCATATTCATGTTTTGTATTTCTCCTAAATTGGTGTTAGTCATAAACTGGCAAACACAAAGCTTGGCCCTGCCCCCTCTCACTGATGTATGAACCATAAATCGTTAGACCACACAAAATAGATCAAGGGTCTTTCAGAAGGAGATGTGTGGGTTTAAAAAGAATATGGAATCAGCTATAAATAACAGGACAGGGCCCCTCAGGATCTTCTAATGGGATTAAAATGTTTACTTTGCAGTAAAGTGTTGCCTCAGAGGCAAAATTATAGAGTACGTCATGTTTAATTTCAGTACAAGCATCCTTTCCTTTCCTCATCCTTTTCCTGAAGAATCATTTTTATGTCAAACTGGTTTCTATTATCATTATTTTGAGTGCAGCAGTTGTTAGACAAAAAGAGTTCAGTTCAGTTTTTTTCTTTTTGTAGGTATGTATTTATGTATGTATGAGATAGATAGATAGATAGATAGATAGATAGATAGATAGATAGATAGATAGAGAGGTTGGTTGGTAAATTTTTTTTTTATCTCTACGCTCACTAAGGCTGCATTTATTTAATCAATTATATACAGTAAATACAACAGCCTACTATTGTAAAATTATATTACATTTTAAAATAAATCTGTTACATTTTTTTAATTTTCTTGTGTGATGGCAAAGCTGAATGAGCACATGATCTATCAGAAATAGATTTTTCTTATTTTTGGAAACTGTGAGACTTTTTCAGGATCATTTTATGAATTGAAAGTTCAAAAGAACAGCATTTATTTAATGTCTATCTATCTATTGTAACGATTCAAGTCTTTACTGTCACTTTTGAATAAAAATTTTAATTTATTTACAACAAAAAAAACCTTATGATTGCACTCAGCAAGATCAACCATTATTAATACTTTTTAATTTATTGATTGGAACTATATCACCTACAAATCAACATTTGATGTCAAACTAGCTAGCCCCAGCTAACTTTGTATAAATCTTTGATATATTCTGTCTGGTATATTCATGTGCAATTTGAAACCCCAAAGTATTAGTAGAAAATAAACACTCACATATTTAGTTTGACCTCCTGAACTCTACAGTCAACATTTTCTAAAGGTTAAGCATAATTTTTCACTGATTTGCAAGAAAAGATAAAAGTACTTCATTTTTAAAAAGTCCTATTTTAGGCCATAGCCTACGTCGTTTTCGTGGAAAGTGCCTCATACACTTAGGCTACTAAACACATGTTTGCATGTAAATGTAGAATGTTCAGCCCCTAACTTTGAATCAGTCACATTTTAAATACATCATAATTATTTTAGTGTGTGAAGGTGAATCACATATGAGGTATAGATTCAGTAGGAAGAATCTATAGAAGTCAATAGGTTTGGGTCTTGCTTTTAATAGACAGGTCCACATCACTCTCTGGTGAGTCACTGAGGATGCGTCAAGAATCATGGCCAGGGAAACTATTGGACAAAAAGTCTCTTCAATTCATCACTTCATGAATGGCTCGGGGCTCTTCGGTTCAATGATGAAGAACTCTGAATGCCTTTGTTAGACTTATCTCCGGACAGCTTGCCGGTAACTGGAGGATTGTGTGTTTTGGTGTAATTGTGTTAGAACCCTCCCACATATCCTCCCTTGTGCGTCTTCTGTCTCGTTCTTTAATCTCCGCTGTTTGTCTTTGTGATAAGTGATATCCCGTTTCGATCATGATAGACTGTTTATGCCCACCTGATGAGAAGAAGGCTCTGTAACGGCCCCAGTGGATCCACCTTATTTATAGCGTCGGAATCAAATTAGACTGTTTGTGAAAGCCCAAGATACCTGCCGCAATAATCTCAGTCTGAAGTGATGTATTGATGCTTTTAGACAGAGTCCTAATTACGACGCAAGCCGTCAATTAGCGAGGGATGCATTTGAAGATTTAAAAAAAAATGGCTCAATTGTTTGTTGCCAGACATTTAAAGTCACTATGTCTGAGGATTTATATTCCCTCTAGAGCAGTAAGCCAACTGCTATTTCATAAAAGGCTCTAAAAACCACTCAAACCATGTCACACGAGATAATGATGAATGGTGAAGGAAAATGACTTCCCGGTATTACTTTCCCAGATTTTCACTGAGGAGCGCTGGAGCGAGAATCCCATTTTTTGGCAGAAAGCTGGTGGCGTCAGCGACATAAAACGTTCATAAGTTCACATTCATCAAAATCTGTGGAGAGGGTTTTGGTTTATTAAGAACACTTAAAAGGGGTCATATCATGAAGAATCAAGCTAATCTTTTGATCTAGATTTTTTTGATAACTTCCCGGTATTACTTTCCCAGATTTTCACTGAGGAGCGCTGGAGTGAGAATCCCATTTTTTTGGCAGAAAGCTGGTGGCGTCAGCGACGTAAAACGTTCATAAGTTCACATTCATCAAAATCTGTGGAGAGGGTTTTGGTTTATTAAGAACACTTAAAAGGGGTCATATCATGAAGAATCAAGCTAATCTTTTGATCTAGATTTTTTTGATTGCTATTTAGAAGCTTCCTTCCAAAATGAAGAAGTAAGATTAATTGATAGGCTACTAATCTGCAAAAAAAAAAAAAGAGGAAACTTTTTGACGTCATATAGGCTAGATAAATACATTTGAAAATTCACATTACACGTCAATGACGTCTGCTTTTACTCATTGCACATGCAAAGTAGTGTTAAGGAGTCTTAAAGGCACAGCAGCCAGAAAAGTAATATAAAAATGTATCAGTTTTACGGCTTTCTAGGGTCAGAGAAAGAGTGGGAAATGTTCATTAAAAACTCAAAAAATTAAAGAAAAAAATAGCGTTATAAATGAACATGGAACTGTAAAAAAAAAAAAAAGGCATATGACCCTTTTAGACAGAATGAAAGACAAATATGTCTGATAAGCAAGATCCTGTCATGCATTTGCCATACTAATTAATTTGATAAGTTTTCAGAGACATTCTGGCGTGAGAATTTGTAGCACTGTGAGTTCTGGCGCAGCATTGCTTTAATGTTTATGTCACACTCTAAACAACAATTAAACACAGCTCAAGGCCACATTTCATGTTTGTGTTAATAACCATCCAGATCAGATCAGGGAAATATTTGATTACGATGGAGATATAGATAAAGCCACAGTTTTAGTGGATCTCAAAAGTATCTTATTTGCATCATTTTAGTAACACCAACAGAAGGGGAAGACAAAATGTTTGTCATTTCTAATATGAGAACAGGATCTCCAAGAGTGAATATTCTCTGTTTATTTGCTCATTTGAAAGGGTCCACTCTTGTTTGTGTGCTTTACTTTTAAGACTTTCTCATATGGAGTCTTACTCCAGTGCTAAAAAAGACACACTGTAGCCATGTTGTATCTGCAAAGCTGTTGAAAACAAACAGATAAATTACTTTAATCCAAGACAAAGTCAAGATAAGCAACTTTCGAAATCCTGATAAACAATTACAGAACTATGACTCTGAACTGATCTCTACTCTAAAAATAAATACATACATAAAGTAAAAATAACGGTGCAAATCAAATCGCATGACAGCACATATAAAGAAGTATTATACAAGCATGTAAGCAATTAAGTCAAACAAGACATTTAAGAGTGACAGAGACTTGGTGCCCACCGTTGGGATATATGAATGTGATATTGTGAGAGATTTATGATCTTATGTTCCCCCCTGATACAGAAGAAATGGGTTGTCAGCTGTTATGAAATCTGCTCAATTACTGCAATGGAGCAGATTTCATAATAGTTGATAACCCATATTCCAATCAATCATCCAACAAAATAAGCTAAAAGAAACACAAAATATGATGTTTTTATGCTCGAGTAATTTATTATCAGCCACAGGAATGCTTTAGAGAAATATATCATCAGATCAAACCGTTTTAGAATGAATGTTTTAATAAAATTTGAATTAATTAAAAGGAGAAGGGAAAAAAAATAGGAAATCAAATATTGTGTTTGAATGTTTTTATTCTTTCAAAGCATCAGTGCAATATTACCATTGTTATCAAACAATGTGTTTTCATAATTCAAAATAATTCATCATTTGAATTTCAATAAGTGCCAATGGTAGATATCATGGAAATGACAGCATGGTAAGAAACTTTCACAATCCTTTTTTTAAAGTGTAAGGAATGAAATAAAATATTTAGATTTGAAATAATATATTTGGAACAGAAATATATTTGAGTAATGGTGGCTTAATGAGATACATATTCAAATGCAATCAGGACAGAATATTTACAAATCATTTAAATAAATAATTGGCTGCAAAGATAAATAATACTTTCTTTAAAACTCATAATATAAAAAGCAAAGCTATTAAACAAAACTATATTTTAAGAGCATTTTAAAACAAACATAAATTATGATAAAAAGCAAAAAAAAATTTTTTAATTATTATTATAGAACAATTACACTTTGTAAATGGAAATGACATGAAAACAATGACAGTTAATTGCAGTGATTTGAAGGCACTTCCTTGGAAAAAATAATTTACTCCAACATCTCTGGAGTTTCTTCGTTTATATCCTCAGGACCTACGACACATACAGAATTAAACAGAATTATTTTAAGATTTAATCATATTAAAATTTCCTTTATATTTTAAATGAATACTTTTAGGATTCGGTTACAGTTAGAAAAAAGTATGAGGAAGACAGCGTACGAAATTAAGTTCCTCAACCAGCTCAACCTGTCATACACAGAAACAATGAACTTCAGACTTGAATTAATTTCTCTCCACTTCAATGGAAATCACTTATTCACGTCATAAAAGGCAATTTAACCATTTCTAATTGATTCAGAGGAAAACCAGTCTGAGCAAGAGTAATCATAACCTAATAAAACCACCATAATTCACCAGCCCTATCATTTGACATTCAGATTGGTAATGGATTCTTTCACCTTTCACTAACAGGTTCTTTGAATGTCTCATTCCAGCTGATTATGTCACAGCACAGACTGATCCCAGCGTCACAGTTTGGAGGTGAACTATTTTGAATATGTTTCTAGGAATTAAATGAACAATGTTTGATTCTTTGACACATGAGCTCGGATTGACTTGCCAAGATTGTTATTTAATCACTTTATTACACAATCTAATATACAATTATTTGATCTATCAGAAAAAATGCATTAGGCAACTGCAACTTGGCAAAAAGGAAAAATATCACAGGACAGGAAGAGTCTGCTAGATCCAAGCTTGTGCATTGCTTTTCTTATCAATTATACAGACATAAATCTGAAATCAGAATCAGTTTCTTTAAGACTTTATACATTTAAATTTCAGTTGCCAGAACATGAACTCTTGGGAGACTTTGTTACATCACTTTGTATATAATTACTTCAAAGTGATTAGTTGCACGCATATTACAATGCAAATTTATGCCTCTCTGGAAGTTCTATTCTGCCTGTGTGAACCGTGCATTAACTGCATGCCTCAGAATGTACCAGATGGCCATGATTAAACTGACATTATATCTTACTCAATATTTCTTCTAAGGTTTCAGTTAAGGAAACATGCAAAACTTTCCCAACAGTAACCGGGAGCAGGCTTGGCTATCATGTTACAAATCTTGCCGTTTCAGACAATAATAAATACACACAAACACATAATAAATATACAAATAATAGTTTATATACTCATAATTACATGTGTTAAAGCAGCTTTGTACTTACATGCGGTTTCTATGATTGTGTGCAAAGGGGACTCATAGCTAGCCTCGTTAGCAATCGTGCACATCTTTTATAATCTGTTGGGGACAAGACAAAAGAAATGAAAACAAGGAATTTTCGCTTTCACAATGTTAAACAGACATTGACACTCTGGCTTGTGCTGTGTGACATGAAGCACACGTCACCACTTCAAACGCACTGATGAAATTCAGTTTTAAGTGGAGCTCTCATGCCATCACGGGGTGACGTATAGAGTATGAACATGGCTAAGGGTTAGATGGATCCCTGTAAATAGCTTCATCTCTGCCCCAGTAATGTACTTGATGGCCTAAAATGACTGTGTGGGTTCAAGCACCACATGCTTCCACCCTTAATGGTGTTTGTGAAGTCTGAACATCCCATTGCTGTCCTGTTCCAAGCACCGTTGCCATCATTTTCTCTCAAGGTACTGCCACGTTTCCCTCCATCCCGTTTAAAAGTGACACTGTCAAAGCAGAACTCAAACACTACAAAGTATCTTGAAAGTATACGGCGTGAAATGGCTTTGAATTCGCCGTTGCCATACATGAAAACGTATCTTGTGTTAAGTTTACTGCAGTTTAGGGAGCATTTATGTCATAAAAATGCTCTGGAAGACAGAAACTCTGATTTACGTATGAATTATTATGCATTTGTCATTCCCAGCGTTCCTTGTGGCTGCCAAATACTCACATACAGCTGGTTGGATTTGCATGTTTACAAAGCCCATCATACCAAATAATATCTCTTTGTCATACGCATGCTGTACTTTCTTTACTACTACTTTCAATAATTCATAGATCCTGATTTAGAAGAGAAAAATCCACAGTTTCTAAGGTTGAATTTCACAATTCTTCCTTCTGAGAACCACAGAGGAGGGTCGTGAAGCAAGTTCACAATACATCGCTGGCCACTAACACACAAGTGTTTTTACTCAAGAAAAATCAAACAAAACACTTGAACGGCCATTGTCTAGAGGAAACAGGCATCTGTTGTGACCCAAAATATAAATCTGATCATCACTATGGGAAGCTGGTTTGTCTTTTATTTTGTAAAATATAAAATGTAGTACAATTGAAGAAAAGGAGCCTTGATTTGTTTGGACATTTATGCTCTCTATACAGAGTAACACTTTAGCTGTGCCTTTAGATAAGTGTTATTTAATGGAAAACTCTAAACCACTGTACCCAGCCTAATCAATAAGACTCAAAGCTAGTAAATATACCCCTTCATCGATACCAAACCAGAAATGTGTTCTTTTAACTCATACTGGATATTAATTAGCAATTTGACCATTCTTAAAGAAACTGAAATAAGCGATCGATACTGTGGGTGAACAAAACAGACTCACCAAGTAGCTTCCTCTCAAACTGAAGCAGTTTGAGAAACATAGACTTATGTACAATCTGTGGCCCGCCCGACCCTGGGACACCGTCCCCACATGTAGACCATATCAGTTCCAGCCTATCGAAGTAAGGAGATTATTGCATGCAAAGTTGTAATGCCTATCAATGTCAGGTCCACAAATCCATGCAGCAGCTAATTTTAACCTGCCTCAGAATGTAGGATAACCAACACTGTGTTATGAATGAGTTCCTCTTTCATTCAAAATACAGTGACTTTCTACCTTTTCGATGTCTACACAGATTCTTCTACTGAGGGCCATTCTTTTCCATTTTTAATAAGAAAATCATGGAGATGATGCACTATTAAACACCCATCAAGATAATTCCAGGTCTATACGCGTGTTGTCGCACCTGAGTCTTACATAAGATGACTAAATGCCTATACTAATGGGCTGTTCTATTCAGAAGGGTACAGTACAGTGCAGTGTGTTGACTGTTTAGATTATATAAATCTCCATAATCAACTCAGTTTTCAAAACTAGCATGTTTTCACTAGATTAAAATCATTCTCATTGCAAAACTTTAAAGGCAATAAACTCATTCAAAGGTCATCCAGATCAGCAATAGCAGATGTTTATGGGTGTAATTTTTCTTTGGCACACAAATTCTGTGTAACAACACGTCAATCAGTTTTATTTTTTGTTATGACTAAGACATTTAAATAGAATCAGCCCAACCAGAAAACTGGCACTGTCAAAATTTCATGAAATTTGTTTTATAATTAAATTAAGTAATGGGGTATCACAGCAGTGAAGAAACCACGTAATAGCAACAAAAAAAAAACAAGTCTTTGTCTGTATTTGAGTATAATAAACTATTCCCAAGAGTAACAGAAATGCTAAAATGCCTCCGAACACATCAAAACACGGGACAGCTTCTAGATGTGACATGGAACATTCAGTAGTTGCTGTTAAATGACACATATTAAGTTCAGCACAAATGGCAAAACTCTTTGGAAAATTACACCAATAAGCACGTATTATTATTCCAGCATGAACAATCTCAAGTACATACAATTTAAAGGCACAAATAACGTTGTTCTATTTTAATATACATTAAAATCGAATGTATTCCTGTGATGCAAAGCTGAATTTCCATCAGCCATTACTCCAGTGTAAAGTGTCACATGATCCTTCAGAAATCATTCTAATATGCTGGTTTATTATCAGTGCTGGAAACTGTTGTGCTGCTTAATATTTTTTTAGAACCTGTGGTACTTTTTTTCAGGATACTTTGATGAATAAAAATTTAAAAAGAAGAGCATTTATTTAAAATAGAAATATTTTCTAACAATATACACTACAGTTCAAAAGTTTGGGGTCAGTAAATTTTTATTCTTTCTTTTCTTGAAAGAAATTAAAACTTTTATTCAGCAAGGATGTGTTTAATTGTTAAGAAGTGATAGCAAAGATTTATATTGTTAGAAAAGATGTATATTTTGAATAATTGCTGTTCTTTTTAACTTTTTATTCATTAAAGAATCCTGAAAAAAGTATCGCAGTTTCCAAATAAATATTTGTCAGCACAACTGTTGCCAACATTGATAATTCTAATAATAAATCAGCATATTATAAACATTTCTTAAGGATCATGTGACACTTTATACTGGAGTAATGGCTGATGGAAATTCAGCTTCACAGAAATAAATGATATTTTAATGGATATTAAAATAGAAACCATTATTTTATATTGTAATATCATTTTGCAAGATTAAATTTTTTTTCTGTATTTTTGATCAAATAAATGCAGCCTTGATGAGCATAAGAGACTTCTTTAAAAAACATTACAAGTCTTACTGATCCCAAATTTTTGAACGGCAGTGTATATATATTCATCTTAATTCTACTATATTTGCTGTACTAAGATAAGACTGAAGTTATTCGTTTCAAACCCTTTTACAACTGACCATCCTGGAGGGTCACGTGACAATGACCATGTTTACCATTACAAATGTAGATGGGGCTCTTATCTATTACGGGGGTCTTATCTATTAATGGTGTCTCAGAAAGCACGAAAGTAATTGACAAGGATGGACAGGCATCTGGCTTTTGTTTAAAGCAATCCATTCTTGTTGGTATACAGAGGTAGAATGTGACTGCACAACACATTTGTTAAGCAACACATATGCTGGGGGGCTGGGGAATGTAACAGTATACAGCAATTATAAATAAGTAAAGACCACATAACATCAAAAAGTTCTAAAAAGCCATATTTCAAATGTTATATTTGTTAGACACATGGAAATGTCAGTGTCTAAACGTACAATTGAGAATCATTTCTTGCTGTTCAATCAATGCTGTTTCTTTAGTGAGGTCAGGTTGATTAATCATATGAAATAATTGTTTTGACTTAATAAATGCGTTAACCAAGTCGTTACTCACAAAGTGCAGATCATCAGCACACATTACATGACAACCAGCATCACGATTTCTCAAGCTTTTAAACTTGTCTCTGAGCGCTTCTTAGATCTACACTGATGAGTTCTACATTATGTGATCTGTCTAACATGAGCATTCATTTTACTTCACTCTGCAGATCTTAATCCAATTTCATGTCCTTTTGTGCTGAACTTTTTTTTCAAAATTACTCAAAGAATACAGGTTATGTTCTTGTCTTTGCAATTCAATCATGATATGTAAGGCAACATATGAACAGCTGTCCATGCATTAAGTGATTAAAGCATTAAAAGTGCAGTTGATATGCACGAAAAAACTCCCACTAACAGGAAGTAGTTAATGCCCAGGATTACTTTTGTATCATCACCTGATCTCAAATCAGCTTACCTAATGGTCTGCTGTTGTCCGGCTTGGACAAATGTGGAGTCTTTTCACGAGAGGAAAACTTCACATCTTGAGATACAGAGTAGAGGCCACTGGTGACGCGTCTGGACGCGGGCTTGTCCTCGATCACTTGCAGGATTAGATTAAGCAGAGTTTTCCTTTCCGACTCCTTTACCTCCTTGCTGTCCATGCATTGGCTGGAGGTGATGAGCAAAAGAATCATACTCAACAATATGTGCCTTCTCTTCTCAGCCCGCATGGCTTTCCAGCCTGATAAACGAACAAAACAAGCAAACATAGCCATTACATCCTCGTACTAAAAGTTCTGACCGTGCGTAAAATACGCAGATGTCAGAGCAGTGGCGCAGTGGTCCAGTGTTTATGCAGTAAATATTACATCCAGATTCGAGTCCTACCTAAAACTCTCGACCTGTTTACACTCTGTACTTTCTGCAAATAAAGGCAAAACTAAATAAATAAATAATACAACTGTACCTAAATGTACATGAAATGACCCAAATCCAACTATTCTTCATTGTCTATGCTACGTTTAAACGTTTTGAAATCTGAGAAATAATCAATTCACTATATACTATAATCTTAAAGTATGTATTCACATAAGCAAACATAAATAGAAACTTACGCGAATATATATATTGGTAGGTGTTTCTACCTCTAATGATGTGCACTCAGAGTTGTCAGAGAAAAATATATCTTCCAACAGTTCCTGTTGTCTCGTGTCTTTCTTGAGAACATGCGTCTTGTTTTTATACGTCAAGTGCGAAGCTTCTAGAATGTAATACAATCGATTTCGGGTGGGTGGCAAATGTAGACCTCTTTCCCTTAGGTTTTTTTTTTCCTCAACTCGTGGTCAGTTCCTTTGACATTCGCCCCTCCTTTCGTTTCAAATTCATCACAGAAGTTCAGATAACTATAAAAAGTGTCTCAAAACTCCTCTCTGCGGTTTATTAAAAGATTCATAGCTGGCAGAGGGCTGGACGCGTAAATGTTCTTGGAGATATCCATCGCGCCATGTCCCCCCAGGGAAATGATGGGGTACCTCAAGTATCCATATATCCAGATATACTTGCTTAAATGTAGTCGAGCTGTGAAAATTACGCCTGGATGTTTTTGTTCATGGATGGTCGGGTCTTGTGACTGCACTAAGCGCGCTATCCTGGTAAGCCCCGCTTGTTCCACCTCCCAACTGAAGTTTGCACTTGGCTTTGTGCTGGTATTACACGCTTAACGCATACATTCCAAGGTTCTTAACTTTTGTATGTAATAACAAGCAAACACAGATCAATGGTCTGATTAAAATGATAATTGAGCATGAATATTTAATAAATTATCACATTATTTCAACCTGTTCTCACGCCTTATGTAAAGCACTCGAACCTTGATTATTGCTTTAAGCTTCTTAATATTTCTCTGTAGCCAGAGTTTTCCCCACGGGGGTCTGTGAAGGTCCTGCAGGGGTCATGTTCTGGAAATCTGGCCTTCAAGTTTGATATCGAGTTTGTATGTGCGTAATTATGTGTGATGGTAATTACATTCTTTAAGGGAAGATGAAACTTGGCTTGTATTAATTGCAAAGTACAAAAATAGATTTAAAAAAAAAGAATGGTGGCATTGATGGCAATATTATATACTACTACTACTACTACTACTACTACTACTAATAATAATAATAATGTACAGCAGTTATTTACTATTAAAACATAAATAAAAATGTAGCCTATACATAAATACCAAACAAATGTACATTTTAACAAAAATAAATAACAAAAAAACTATACTAACCTTGGCTTATTAATTGCAAATTATATAAATAATAAGAAATTGTTATGAATTTAAATTCTGAAATGCCCTAAGAAAACAAACAATCAAAAAAAGTAGACACTTTTTAGGAGAAATTAAAAAGTCTGGGTGGTGGACAATCCTATAATTGTGAAATAATAGTGACAATAATTAAAGTGACAATAGTTTAAAACTGTGATCTACCCATTAACCCTAGACTGATGACATTAATGATCTATCCAGGGGATCCCTGGGTGTAGAAAAGTTGTAAACTCCTTCTCTGTTGAATCCATGTAAAAAAAAAAAGTACAATGTGAAAAGACAAACAGTTTCACACAGCTCTTGTCGCTCTTACAGGGATGTCACTGAACATGCTTCTCATATGGGAATTTGAAGGAAACTGCCTTGCTCCCTCCTGACTTCAAGATGCACACTGGGTTCATACTGACATTAGGAACAGAAAAAAATAATCTTCAGATACTTAAATGTCACATTTGCATGAGGACATTTCAAACTGCTTTACTTTTGAAGTAACTTTTTAACTTTACATACGGTCATGACAATGGAATGCTGCATTTTCTGCATTGCAAAGCTTAATCTCAGCACAGATAGAGGCTACACTGATCGCTGTCCTAATATGGCCTTTAACTAAATACCTAAGACATATGATTATTGGAATGCTGTAGTCTATTTAGGATGTTTTAAAGCCTCACTTACGGACAAGCAATAAAGATGTTGTACTTGGCGACATCAAGCGGTGTGTTTTCAAACTACAAGTAATATCGCCTTTCCCCCATGCGTCCACAGTAGTCTATAAGTGCATACAAACACATTTTTACAGTTTTTATATTAGTTCGTCAATAAATATGATTTTGAATTAAGCTGTAAACTTGTATTTATATTAAATGCCGAATTAAATTCTAGGAATTTTCGCGCACCTGTTGTTAAGATGTCAAAATGTCACGTGCATACTAGGGGCTTAATAACTCACAATAAACAAATAATAAAGTTAGTTTGCAAATTGCAACTAACAACTATATTGGTAATTCGGTTGCACCATTTGTTCCACTTGAAGGCATAGTCAGTAAACTCTCCTCGGAAGTTATATTTAGTCGCATAATATGACGTTAACCACTAATTATTTCCAGTGATCTAATATTATATTCCACTAATGTTATATTTTATTTAACGAGAGTACATGCCAACAACATCATATATGTGTACATTAATGACATCTGTCAGGCAAAACGTTGATGTAACGTTAATTCAATCAGCGGGCCAAATTTCCGTTCGACATTTGATCTTCTACCGTTCTGCGCAACCGTTACCTTAGAAACAAGTTGACAACAACTTTCAGGCAAGTTAGTCAGCCATGTATCCAATTCCTACTGCTCTAGAAATGAATTTAATTCAAGAGTCGCATTATTTGTTGTCGGGAGTGTCGTTCTAACTGTTAATAACTTTATCTTTAGCCCCAAAAAGTGGATGTTTTAACTACCGCTACAGACTGTTATTTGTGATAGACGTGGAGAGGAAATGCAGTAACTCCTGCGATACAAAGGAACCGTAGAGATTTTATCAAACGATGTCGCACAGGTTTGTAGGTTACAGTGACAGTAAATGTGCTTGCAAGAAATGATTGCCTCAAAAATGTAAATTGTAAAATGTCTGTGTTAGTAATTCTTCTAAATGTTACAACATACAGTCTCTTTCATGTTTAATTTAAGGTTAAGATATATATGATTGAATTTTATTCTCATATAAATAGCTTAACTTGTATGCATCAATCCAATGAGTAAAACAGTTTGTCTCTGACAGCACATACAATACACTTTGGTCTGAAGCTCATGAGGAGCTCAGCTGTTTGCTGGACGAAGAACTCCCAGAAGAACCTCCCCGTCCTGAGAGAGACAGAGTGGTGTTCTTCCAAAGGCTCGCCACCTTCTATGTCCGCTATGTGCAGATCTTCAGGCAGCTAGAAGAGGCTTATGACCAAAGCGTTCACCCCCAAAAGAGGCGTGCGATTCGGCAGGTGCTGGACAGTGTGATAGGCCGTGTTCTGGAGCTCAAGAACGAAATGGTGGAAAAGGAATTTTCTGAGTACCACTACATGGATGACATCATCCAAGACCTGAAACTAACCCCTGTGAGTGTCTTTAGTGCTGTAACGGACTTAATAAATGTATTTAAACCGTAAACCATCATCATTTCAATCATGTTTGTCAAAGGAGGACCTTGAGATTCCAGTTCCCAGGTATTTCATTTGGGAGCGGAACAAAGTGCTGCAGGACAGAGAAAGAATGTTTGCTGCTATATTAAACCAAATGGATGTGACAGAAAAGGCAGGAAAGAGTTCAATTGCTCATGTTTCATCATAAACAACAATAATTGCATTGGTTTGTGCTTACATGACTTCTCTTGCCTTCCAAAGCCTCCTGTAATGCGCATGTTGACTCTGGAGAGGGCCATTAAAATCATCCAAGTGGCTGAAAGAGCACGGCAAGGACGACTGAGGGCAAAGTTCATGCGAGAGATCCATAGAGACTCTGAGAGACAGAGGAGAGCTGAGGAACAAGAGGCAGTTAGCACTGACCAGGCCGCAGTTTGTATCCAGAAGGTAAAATATACTATTATGTTCACACAAAATAGTTATAATTAATGTATTACTATTAGTTTACACTAAAAAAAGTTTAGAAATACAGTACATTTCTTAAACTAATTCTAATCTCTGTTTAGGTGTGGAGAGGTTTCATGCAAAGAAAAATTACAAAAAGGCTACGTGAAGAGGAAATTATATTTCTTGGAATGGTAAAATGAATTATGTATCTCTACCATTCAAAACTTTAGGGTTGATAAGTTATTTTGATGTGTTTGAAAGAAGTCTCTTATGCGGACCAAGACTGCATTTATTTGATCAAAAATACAGTAAAACAGCAATGAAATATTGTGAAACTTTTATGTAAAATGTTGTGAAATATTACAGTTTATAAAAACGTTTCTATTTGATTATATTTCAAAATGTAGTTTATTCCTGTGATGGCAAAGATGAATTTTTATCAGCCATCGCTCCAGTCTTCAGTGTCAGATTATCCTTCAGAAATCATCCTAATATGCTAATTTGTTGCTCAAGAAATATTTATTTTTATTATAAGTGTTGAATGAAAAAAAACAACAACAAAAAACAAAGCATTTATTTTATATAGATTTTCTTTTTTGCAACAGTGTAAAAGTTTTTTTTACTGTTACTTTTAATCAATCCTTGCTGAATAAAGAGGTACTTTTTGGGTGCTTTATAATACATGCAAAGTACATTAACAAAGGTACCAGCTTTGTATTAATAGTCAAACATAAATATTTCAAGTAAGTCATAAATATTTTGGAGTTCATTGTGCTTCTGCAGCTTGACTACATAGTGAGTATACAACCACCGTGTTGCCACCAGTAGATGGAACTCTAATACTGTTTCTTTTTATTTCATTCTCTGGCTGTGCCTTCTTCAGGCCATGGATCCAAAACTGTTCTATCCATCCCAAACCGAACTGGACGCTTTAAACAACGAGGCCAACAGGCGGACCAGACAAGACGAACATGAAGATGACTATCAGAAATCCATTGGATCTGTTATTTATCAGCTCAGGGAAGTGGAGGGCCCAGAAATGAAGGAGACCATGAAAGATCAGATCCGACAGTGGTTCATTGAGTGCCGGTGAGTGGGATCCCTTGCTGATGGTGGCACACAATTAATATTACCTTGGTGTTTTACTGAGCATATGTTATCAACATTAAAATGAGTACTTGTGAATAGTGATGCAACAGGCTCATTTCCTGACTACCCAGAGGAGGAGAATGGAGGCTCAGCTCTTATATTCGCAGAGAAAACACCTGAGGAGGTAAATACAGCGGGTAAAATAAGTATTGAACACGTCACATTTTTCTCAGTAAATATATTTCTAAAGGTGCTGTTGACATGAAAGTTTCACCAGATGTCGGTAACAACCCAAGTAATCCATACATACAAAGAAAACTAAACAAATAAGTTCACAAAGTAAGTTCTGTGTAATAAAGTGGAATGACACAGGGAAAAAGTACTGAACACATGAAGAAAGGGAGGTGCAAAAAGGCATGGAAAGCCAAGACACCAGCTGAAGTCTATCAGTAATTAGAAAGCAATCCTGCCCCTTGTCAGTGGAAATTAATATTAGCTGGTTCAGTCCCAACTGATGTCCTATAAAAAGGTGTCTCATTACCAACGTGTCACACAAGAAACATTTCATGATGGGTAAAAGCAAAGAGCTCTCTCAAGACCCTCGCAACCTTATTTTTGCAAAACATACTGATGGCATTGGTTAGAGAAGGATTTCAATACTCCTGAATGTTCCAGTGAGCACTGTAGGGGCCATAATCCGGAAGTGGAAAGAACATTATTTTTCCATAAACCGGCCACGACTAGGTGCTCCTCGCAAGATTTCTGACAGAGGAGGGAAAATAATTATCAGAAGAGTTGTCTAAGAGCCAAGGACCACTTGTAGAGGGCTTCAGAAAGACCTGGAGTTAGCAGGTTCAATTGTTTCAAAGAAAACAGTAAGTAATGTACTGTATCCTGTATACACCCTCACCATGCAAGACTCCATTGCTGAAGAAAAAGCATGTTGAAGCTTGTTTAAAGTTTGCTGCACAACATTTAGACAAGCCTGTGAAATACTGGGAGAATATAGTCTGGTCAGATGAGACCAAAATTAAACTCTTTGGATGCCATAATACACACCATGTTTGGAGGTCAAATGGCATTGCACATCACCCCAAAAACACCACAGAACTTTCAAGATTTGAAGACTCTGTGGAAGAATGGGCCAAAATCACACCTGAGCAATGCATGCGACTAGTTTCTCCATACAGGAGGTGTCTTGAAGCTGTCATTACCAGCAAAGGCTTTTGTACGAAGTATTAAATAAATTTCAGTAAGTGTGTTCAATACTTTATCCCTGGGTCATTCAATTTTATTACACATAACTTAATTTCTGAACTTATTGACGCAGTGTCTCGTTCCCTACTCAGGGAACCATGGTTACATAAGTAACCCGAGACGTTTTCTTTGTTTGTATGGATTACTTGGGTTGTTACCGACATCTGGTGAAAATTTCAAGCGCACCTTTAGAAATATATTTATTGAGACAAATGGTGACGTGTTCGATACTTATTTTACCTGATGTATATGTTCATCTTTGACCAAAACCTATGTATATATATATGGGATGTTCTTTACCCATCCTATTCAGTATGATTATGATTAAAGAAAACTGTCATGTTTGTCATGTTTTCGTTGACACAATAATGTCTTCCTTTGAAGCTGGCAGAAGAACTGGCAGCAAAGGAGGAGGAAGATGCCAACAAAAAACCAAAGGGCAAGGAGGAGACAAAAGAAAAAGGAAAGAAAGAGAAAGTCGATGACGAGGTAAGAATTGAGGAAAGGACTTGACATGCACACTAACCACAATGACAAAATAGTAAATAGGAAAACACTGCAAAGAACATTACTGAATATGATTACCAAGTATTTCTCTACTGTATATCACATTGAGTGTAGTTCTTCTAATATGTAACATAATTGTACTATCACAGGAGGAAGAGCCTGGACTGAAGATGCTACCATCTGCCTATCTGGAAGATATTGAGAGGGGACACAAGACATTTTCTGGCAAGGAAAATTGAATATTTAAACATTTGTGTGTTACAGTAACAACATATCATTCACAAGAGAGAGGGTGTGAGTGTGATTATCTCATCTGATCTGCAGAGGTTTGGAAAAACAGAAATGAGACCAAGAATTTTAGTCAAAGACACGAGCTGGAGCTGATCAAGGAGGAAAAAAGAAAAGAGATTGAGGTGGAAATAAGAAAACAGGTGACTGATGGTTCACTGAATGTCTTTTAGCTTGTTGTGAAACTACAGCTACTGCTGTTAAACTGATCTGCGTGTACGTGCTGTTTTAGATTTACTGCCGTTTTTCTTCTTAAAGTCTCCCTGAGATCAAACATTTAAGGCCACGTGTCCCTCACAAACATTTTTATCAACGTTAATCCTAGCTTTCAGAGACATCGGTTTTTGTTGCTTGTTCAGGTGGATGAACTGATGAGACAGGAACTGGCTAATTGGAAGCTGGCTGTGGATAAAGAAAAAAGCGGAAAGGTCAAGGGTGCTGCAAAAGTACAGTAAATCCCTTCTGTTTACATGGATTTATTGGATAACATCAGAGACATTGACTTTATATACAGTATGTATTTTGTTACACATCGTAAATGAAGAAATTGAAAACTTAGTCTTTATGTACATTTTGTTTCATACTACACAGAAAAAGAAAGCATCAAAAAGTGGAAAGAAGAAGAAGAAGGACAAAGACCTTACAGCGGATAGGTTTTTTTATTTATTGTTTTTTTTTTTACGTGTCTTTGAAAATTTGGAATGGTTAAAGGGATAGTTTTAACTTTAATTACTCACTGTCATTATGTTTTACACCTGTATGACTTTCCCCCCCCATGGAAATCAAAAGGAGACATTTCTAATCATTGTACTGGATGTTTATTCCATGCAGTTGAAATGAATGATGACTAAAGCCTGTGTTAGGCTTTCAAGCTTCAAAAAACACACACACACAAATGCTCAATTAAAGTGGTCCTTACTGTATGACTTTTGCACTATATTTAGAAGACTTGAAATATATAAAATATACACAAGTTATATGAAGCACTTTTATGATATCCATTCACTTTTATTATATGGAAATGCCAGAATATACCACAGAAATTCATATTTTGTTTTCCACTGGAGAAAGTTAAACATGTTTGAATATGAGTACTTAAAGTATGACATTATAATTTTTCAGTGAACTTTTCCCATAAATGTTAAATAATACACTACTGTTCAAGTTTGGAGTCAGTAAGCTTTTTTTAAAAAGGAATTTAATACTTTTAATTCAGCAAATATGCATTAAATATGCATTAAATAGATCAAAAGTGAGAGTAAAGGCATTTACAGTGATGTTTAATTAAATGCTGTTCTTTTCATCATCAAAAGAATCCTGAAAAAAGATCAGTTTCCACAAAAATATTAAGTAGCACAACTATTGTCAGTATTGATAATATTAAGAAATAATAAGAAGTGCACCAAATTAGCATATTAGATGATTTCTGAAGAGTCATGTAACACTGAAGGCTGAAGTAATACAGTACAGTAGCTGCTGAAAAATTTTCCTGTACCAGGCTAAATTATGTTTTGAAATAAATAGTAAAAATATTTCACAATATTAAGTTTTTTCCTGATTCCATTTTGATCACATGAATGCAGCCTTGTTGTCATGAGACTTCTTTCAAAAACATTTTTAAAAATCTTACCGACCCCAAACTTTTAAATTGTGAACTCATTGAACTCAAGTTAATCAAACTCTCTCTCTCTTTCTCTCCCTCTCTTTCTTTCTCTCTCTCTTTCTCTCTCTCTCTCTCTCATTTTTAGGACCATTGAGTCACTGTTTGAAGAGCTGGTTGAACAGGAATTGCTGAAAAAGGCAGATAATGTTAAACTAAAAGATTATCTTGGTATTTACAATCTGTTTATAATTCTCTTAGAAATTTACATATTTTGAAAAAAAAAGAGAAACAGACACTTCTAAAACTTATTTGGCCCTTTCATAAGTTAAAATGGGGTTATACATTCCTGTAAGTGTATATACACACCTGCTCTGTTTTTAAAGGGGACTATAGCTATCTCGGCACAACTCTACGACAGTCTGACATTGAGCCTATGCCGTCCTTATCTGATGTTCGGCAAGTTGTAGCACTCTATGCTGTCTTACCATTAGGTGAGTAAATTAATCGCTCAGGATTTTCTTATTTTTACCTTTGAAATGCCAGCTTTTTCATATGTTGTCAAGCTGGCCAGCTAAATGGATCGAATAAAAAATGTTCTTTGTCCTATAGGTTCCCAAGCAGTGCATGAGAAGGCTCCCCTGGTGAAGACCATGCTGCTAGTAGGTCCATCAGGGGTGGGTAAGAAAATGTTGGTCCATGCCATTTGCCAGGAGACTGGAGCCAATCTGTTTGACCTTTCACCTTTAAATGTGGTTGGAAAATACCCTGGCAAGAGTGGATTGCAGATGATGCTGCATGTGGTGTTTAAGGTAAAGTTTAATGTGAAATTGGCCTAAATCTGTGATACTGGCCTGCTAATTGTTGGTATTTTGATGTATTTTGTACTCTGTATTCTGTTCAGGTTGCCAAACTGATGCAGCCTTCTGTAATATGGATTGGAGAAGCTGAAAAGATGTTTTACAAAAAAGTACCAAAAGAGGAGAAGGAGGTAAAAAGTGTAACCCACTTGTGATCTTTCTAGTGGTGAAATGACATGTAATGAACTATTTCCTTTGTTTTCATTTTGGGACACAGTTAGATCCGAAACGTCTGAAGAAAGATTTACCCAAGATCCTTAAGTCCATCAAAGGAGAAGATTGTGTTTTAATAGTAGGAACGACAAGTGATCCACACAGTGCAGACCTGAAATCCTTGTGCAAATTCTACAATAAGATCATCCTCATACCTCGGCCAGACTATGCATCAAGATACGGTAAGCTAAGTGCTTACCAAGGCTGCATTTATTTGATAAAAAAAAATCTGTAATATTTTTGAATCATAATTACAATTTAAATTATCGTATTTATTTAAAAAAAAAAAAACTTACTGAGCCTAAAATAGTGTATATTATATTTTAAGAAAAATAAGCAAAATCACAGTGTTTCCAATCATGCATATTGTCACAGTAATGTGGAAAGAGCTGATAAAAAAGAATGGAGGAGAAGTAACCAGTGCCCTGGACCTCAGCTCTCTGGCAAAGATCTCTGATGGCTACACTCAAGGTCACATGGTGCAGGTGGTGCGTAGCATCTTGACCGAACGGCGCATTCAGCAATTTCCTAAACGTCCACTAACAGCCTCAGAGTTTGTGTCTCCACTTGCAAGAATCGACCCTGTGTTTCAGGAGGAAGAAGAGGCATTAAAAGTAAATAAAATCTCTCAAATATCTGATACCATTTCTTTGCATTGCACATTGAATTTAAAAGCTAACTTGACAATAATTTCTAGTATTCTCTCTCTCTCTCTCTCTCTCTCTCTCTCTCTCTCTATATATATATATATAGAATAAATTAAAAAAAATTTCTCCATAGAACTGGTATGCCAAGACTCCCCTTGGAAAGAAGAGAATTAAAGCTGCCTCAGGGAAAGAGGGTGATGAAGAGTCCTCAAAAACAGGGAGCAAAGGTGGCAAGAAGAAAGGAAAAAAGTAACAATATAAGTGTTAACATGAGCAACCATAGTACCACATTTCCCTGCCTTTACCAATAAATGTATCAATTTGCTTATGACATCATCTTATGACAGTATGCATGTTTTTTGTTCAGTTGTAGATTAAAATCCAAATTGAGGGGTGGAAAAGAGCTTGTGGGTCTATAAATACACAGATACCATCTCCATTAAAGAGGAAAGGCGTATCTCCTAGTCCATTTAAGAGTGTAAACCCCAGCGTGAAAAACATGATCACAGGGCTTATCGTATCTAACACTCTGTACTTCCGCTCAGTAAACTGGCATAGCCTGAATATTTTTGCAACTGACAAGAAAGTGTCACTGTCAGTGCTAACATGCTTACTCCTCAAATGCAAAGTGCTGTAGGACAAAAATAATGAAGATACATTAATCTGAGTGATATAACAGTCAGAGATATGATGGCTGCTAAAATCAGATTAAATTCAGATTCAATTATTTTAACCAGTAAAATTCTTATTGTGGTGGGTTAAAATGGCCAATGTAATGTAAACATCTATGGTAAACACAAACATTTACATGCCATTTACTTTGGTGTTTCACCACTTCATTAGATCTGTCCAGCAGATTTATGTATAAAGCGTTCCCTGTACACTACCGTTCAAAAGTTTGTAGTCTCTTATGCTCACCAAGGCTGCACTTGTTTGATCAAAAGAACAGGAAAACAGTAATATTGTAAAATATTCTTACACTTTAAAATGACTGATGTCTATTTTAATGTATTTTAAAATGTAATTTATTCTTGGATGACAAAGCAGAATTTTCAGCAGTTCATTCAGTGTGCAGTGTTACATAATCCTTCAGAAATCATTTTTTCCCTAATATGCTCATTTGGTGCTCAGTAAACATTTCCTATCATTATTAGTACTGAACACAGTTGTGCCACTTAATATTTTTGTGGAAAACATGATATTTTGTCAGGATTTTTTGGAACAGGAAATTGTTTTATTTATTTATTGTTTTGTAGCAATTCTTTAATGTCAGTTTTGATCAATTTAATTAATCCTTGCTAATTAAATAGATTAATTTCATTATAATAACCCCTTATTGATCCTAAACTAAACTGAACCTGAACTAAAAATGTGTTTTTATTAATGTCAAGCTAATAAGTTTCCCTGTATAAGAATTCTTCCTGGGTCTGCTGTGGGTTGTTGGGGTCCATACATAGAGGTGAAAAGACAGTACGTGCTTCAGATCAAGGACAACTAATGGGAGAAGGGGATTTTGCAGCCCCAGTTAGACATGTGGAGTTGTGATTGGTCTGGGCTGAAACTGAGACAGCCCCCCAGTCTAGGGTTTAAGGGATTATCTCAGATCAACAAATGGACAGCCACTCTTTCAAAGCAGTTCAACTCAGTCCTGGTAAACATGTAGATCTGCATATTTTATAGAAGTAGAACTTTTGTGCAGTGCACTCTGATTTCACAAAGTTAAAAATAAGGTTTTGGTGCTAATTTCACTTATGATACAGGAATAAGCTGTACAGCATCAACATCATTGATGTTCAGAAGGACATGCATTTTTTGCTCTCCCTATAATTACACTTACATTCCAACTGTGTCATGGGTACTATAGAGTGAATTTAGCCAAATTGCTTTACGTTTATTTATATATTTCTAAAGCATGATTCTGACAATGTGTATATAAAATAGTTTGAGTCTATTTATATTGATTTAAGTTGAACTGCTAAGAATTATAATCATAAGAATTATAGCAATTATAATGGAGTGCAATGCAATATAATAGTGTGAGCAACAAGGTGACTTCGAGTTGATTTATGGCACTTGGTAAATCTGTTGTCAGCAGGGTAGAGAGAGACAGTACCAAAGGACATGTGAAACTCACAGAGATGGGATCCAAACAAGGACCTGTGAGCTTAGGTGAAGTGTTCAGCTGTTTCGTCAAGTTCTAATTTCACCTAACACATCCTCACATGGCCCTGGTTCCTTAACAAATTGCTATTTATATTGTGTCTTCGGGCCATCGGTAATATTGCATCCATGTCACTTTGAGTTGAGATTTCTTCTGCACATGCTTGGTGGATGTTTGCAACTCATCAGACAGACTTTACTAAATGCAATAAAGAGTTGTAAAGGTGAAGTAGTGCATTTACAGTATTTAGTCACCAAACAGAAATAATGTCAGTTTTTTAACATGCTCCCTTTCAGTTAGCAAAAACAGGTAGTTCCGCCCCCTAACTCATGCCATTGGTTGAGCCAATTATTATGTCTAGCTCAGCTAGACTGTCAAATCAAATTAATTGTGTATGTCTCTGCTAACATTGAAATGACATTATGCATCAAGACAAACCATGACAAATCGGTGCAGCTTATGCCAGTGATGTTAAAATTTTATAAACTATTTATACTTGACAAAATGACAAAATGTAAAATGAAAATTTTTTAAATTCAAAATTCTTTTTTTTTTATTAAAGTTTTTTTTTTAGATGTTCTCTAACAAAGTTCCAACAGACAAACAATGGAAAATAATTCTAAAAATTTCAATTAAACATGTAGAGACACTGCAGCTTGTCAGAATAAATCCTGCTTATTTTGCATAACAGCTTGATCAGCCGCTAGTCTAGTCCTGCAGTATGGGCATTCAGAATGAGGATTTAGGATCTTTTAATCTCTTTTTGACCTTTCCAACTTAGTTATTTTGGCAACTATCAGAGAAATATGATAAATGAACCTGTGCTACTGTGAATAGCTTTTGGTCAACACAACATTAATCAATTAAATCTTTGGGAATCAATCCTGTGAATCAGTTTCTTTGGGTTCATTTGTTAAGGGATGTATAGTCAGATATGAGATATAGTAAATAGACTAACTGTTATGAACCAAACCATCCTTTGAGAAAGGTGGGTGGTCAGTCATCTGCGGTGGATGAAAACAATGCTAGCAGGCAGGACTTGCTCCATGTAGCCAAGATGTTTCTATCTTTATGTATAATGACGCACAGTTATTTTGGAGATATGTCAGCTGTTCGGTATTAGCCTTTGGGAAAGCTGAAAAAAAAGAAAAACACTTTCAGCCGCTTGTTTGCCAAAGGAAACGGGATAGCACACTGACCTGGGTATCTTTGGTCAAAGTTTTGGGGATAATACTGGAGGAATTTACGTGAACTACAGAAAATTATTTGTGGGCCTTGATGTCTTTCGGTATTTTTGTTGCTAGCTTCAAAACATGATAAGAAGTGTCTCTTTTGGACTTTTATGTGAGGAAAATGTCAGATTTGGCTAATGGTGAGTAAAACGGAAGATCATCCATTTGTTCCTTCTTAAAAATCTGGTCAGTATGAACTTTTTTCTCACGCGTGATCTCAAGTTGTTGTTCTGGTGCATGATTCACAAAGAAGATTTGAGACTTAAATTAATTTGAGACCATTTACATTCCCAGTTGTTTTGTGTTGTCTGATTAATACAAAAAAATACAATATTCATAACTTATTCTGTGTTTTAATCTCAAGGATGGTGTCATGTTTCAAAGTATTATATACACTTGAGACCAACTATTAACTGAACGCTGGTGACATACCAATGGGACAACTGGGAGAAGTGTTTGTTTGTAATGTGAGAAAGAAGTGTGTAGGAATTTACTGCCTTTGTCTCTTTATTTGACCCAGATAAACATCAGTTGTATCTGCACATATGGACAAAAATGAATGAACCAATCATAAAGTAAGCTAGAGTGGCAGAGACATCGGTGCATTCCAAATGATTAACTAATTACATAGAGGGAGTGTAAGCTGTAGGGAGTATTATTTCTGTCAGTATCATATTTCATATTAGAAGAGCAGCCACAGGTTGTATTCACCAATAAGATCAGTTTCTGTGATACACAAAAGGGTCATTTTTATTTTACAATGTTGATGAGTATACGATTACACTTTTTAGAATTCAACTTGGAGCAGTAGGCCTAATGTTGAAGTTGCTGGCCGTTCCTAAAGGCTTGTGAGAAGACAAGTTCCTAAACATGGCATGTAAGACTCATTTATTAATTAAGCATTCTGAATTTGATTATATCATATTTTATTTTACACTATTGCTGCTGTTAAGAAGATATGCAGTCCCTGAAGTGACATTTGCAATTTCGCATGCGCACGATTCAATAGAAGAATTAGCAAGTGAAAGCTAGAAAACTTGAGCATGCGACAATTTCCCCTCAAATGTCACTTTGCGGGCTTCGTATAGGGCAGTTTTTGTTACAAAAAAGAAACACTGATAATTGTTCTATTTTTGTCTGAAGTGAATAGAATTCAATTGGTAAAAGGGCTAGAAGATGTGACGCTGTGTGAGAAAGAAGCCTGTACATTTGAGGTGGTCCTCAGTCATGCGTACGTCCAGGGTCAATGGAGCAGGGATGGAGTCCCACTTAAATCCAGGCCTGTGTGTCGAATTGCCACGCAGGGCAAAAAACACACACTCACACTCACGCGCATCACGGTTGCTGACATGGGTGTCATCAGTTTCAAGGCTGAAGGGATTGAAAGCACTGCTATGCTGACAGTCACAGGTACTATTCCATCAATATGCAACCTGTATTTAATGCAGTATAAAGTCATTTCTTTGTGGGATAAAGGGTGGGATGTCTCAGAACCCAGAAGTTTTGGATAATTTACAGTCTTTTGTCAGTTTTAAAGTTATTAGAGTTGCCTGTGATACAGTAGCAGTTCTTTACTGTCATGTCTACTTTCTCTCAGCCAGGAATATAAAGATTGTGAAGACTCTTCAGAATGTCAGTGTGACCGAGAGGGAGAGTGTGACATTTATCTGTGAGGTCAACTGGGAAGATGTGGATGGGAAGTGGTACAAGGATGACAGCCGGTTGAGAGCTGGGGACAATGTTAAAATAAGATGTGAGGGTATGTGTGAGAGGTTGCGTAACACACTGACTGGTGGCTTATTATGTACATTCAAGGGTCCTTCGCAAAATATGGTGACATTGTTTTCAGTCATGAAAAAAGACTGAAGACTTCAAACTCCATAATATGAAAAGCATTATACTATAATCTACCCTAAAGTTTAGTTTCGTGCTATATTGCACATAAAAATATATATTTGAGTTTGTCCAGTGCCTAAAACCCTGGAACACCTACATCTAGTATATTTATTTGTTGATTAAAAAAAAAGTAAACACTTACGTATATAACAATCTTGCAAAAAACTAAAGAAAGAAAAAAGCGGATAATAAAAAACGTTTGGCCCTAGATTTCTTGAATGTTTTTTAATGTTACAATCTTTGTATTCAGCAAATACAAAAAGCTGTGGAAAAATACTTCTGAGTTCAGAGTAAAAAGAAGCTGTTTAAACCTATTGATATACCATGATTTTAATTTACCTTTACATTATCATAATGTATTTCCATGTAGTTCACATGGTCATTGGTATTATATTGTTTAAAAAGTAACAATATGAAACTTTTTGAGGATGACCAAAAAAGTATTTCACAGAATATGATCACGTTTTGTTTTAGATTCAAATTTTATTCAGCTCTTTCAAATTCAATCAAATCTCCATAAACACAGGTAAAATACACTCCCTAACCTACAAATCAGTCAAACCAGAAGATGCTGGTGAGATCAGATTCACTGCTGAGAGGGTCTCTTCAACAGCAACACTAGGAGTCAAAGGTAAAAAAAAGAGCAAATCATATTTTATCCTTTTTTTTACAATTTTGTTCAAATTTAACAATGATGATCATTGTAGAGCTTCCAGTTCATATTGTGAAGCCCCTGAGAGTGAAGATTGCCATGTACAAACATCGTGCCTTGCTGGAGTGCCAGGTCTCTCGTGCCAATGCTGCGGTTAAATGGTACAGAAGAAATCATGAAATTGTGCCAAATAGGAAGTACCAAACTATCAGTGAAGGCGTGTACCGACAACTTATCATAGATGATGTGGGATCCTCAGATGAAGACACCTTTATCTGTGATGCTGTCGATGACAGGACTTCCTGCCAACTGTTTGTAGAGGGTGAGAAGTACAATTTACTACCCAGTTTTAATATAAGCATTGATTTAACAGAATTATTCTTAGTCTACTTTAAATTAATTTAGTCTGTTAGTCTATCCTTTTAAAAGACTTTTATGCAGTGAATATTGGATCCATTCTTACAGAGCAGGCCATCAGCATTTTGAAAGGACTCAGTTCTGTGGAGGTCATGGAGCCTAAAGAGGCTCGTTTTAAAGTGGAAACAAGCATTAAGTTAGAGAGAGAATTATTCTTAGTCTACTTTAAATTAATTTAGTCTGTTAGTCTATCCTTTTGAAATGCTAAGACTTTTATGCAGTGAATATTGGATCCATTCTTACAGAGCAGGCCATCAGCATTTTGAAAGGACTCAGTTCTGTGGAGGTCATGGAGCCTAAAGAGGCTCGTTTTAAAGTGGAAACAAGCATTAAGTTAGAGAGGGCACCGAAATGGACCCTGAATGGGCAGATACTATGTCCCTGTCCAGAAATCAGGATTGAGAGGCAAGGAACCTCAAACAGACTCATATTGACTCAAACCGACAGTAGTATGTGTGGCACTGTGCAGTTCACCTCGGGGAAGAGCAAGTCAGAAGCTCAACTCACAGTTACAGGTAATTATCTTCTCACATATTCAGAGTACGGATATACAACAAATTGGTGCCATATTATTATTACCACAAACTGGTAAAAAATGTATAGCCTGAATGCACTGTAAGTCACTTTGGATAAAAGCGTCTGCTAAATGCATAAATTATTATTAAATTATTATTATTATATTAGTTGCCAATATTACAGGCTTTAATTGCTATCAGCATATTAGTTATTTTATTGTGCATGGTCATTTCCTCTATTTTGGCATTTAGATTAACTTGCAGTCATGTAACACTCAAATAAACTTTAAAACCACTAATAATCAGGGTTATTTTAGTATCATTGAGATACTATTACAGTTTTTTTATTAATATTTTTGAATTAGTTTTGTATATATTATATTTTCATTTTAGTTTTAGCAATTTTGTGTGTTGTGTGTCATTTTTATTTTTTATATAGTTTTCATTCATTTTTATTTCAGTTTAAGTTATTTTAGTACATCAATATGAACTGTAAGAAATGTTGCTTTGGTAACTGGCTGAAATAAGCTTAAGGATTTTCAAAAAATAATTTATTTGATTTCAATTAAAGTTCATTTTATTTCAGGTAACAAAAAAGTTGGATTTTTAGATTTAGTTAATAATAACAACCCTCTTTAATAATTAAATATTAGCAGATCTCAAAATTAATGTCATTTTTTCATACTGTACATGATAATATTATAATGCATAAGTTCACTTAGCATGTTACATGATTAATTTTAGTTTTGTGTGTGTGTGTTTTTTAAACTAGTATTTCATTTTTACATTAACCATTTATTGTTAATCAGATATAACATAATTAAAAATAATTTTTGGCGTATATTATTAGCCAGAATTTTAATATCAGAACTTGGGGCAAAGCATTTGTTTTATATGGATTGTGAATCATGTGCCTTAAATGTATTCTTGCTTATACTTTTCCTAATAGAGCGCCCTTTGATTGTCAAACAGCCCATTTCTGATGTGGAGGTGAAGGAGAACAGGTCAGTTGCTCTCAGCTGTGAGTTCTGTCCATCCCCCAGAATGGTGCGCTGGTTCAAGGGTAGAACCTCCCTGTTTGCTTCCAATAAGTACACAATGAAGCGGGAAAAGAACCGGGTTGAGATGACCATCATGGGTGTGAAAGCAGCAGATTCAGGAGAGTATCGCTGTCTGGCTGGTGGCTCAGAGACAAGAGGAAGAGTCAGTGTGGAAGGTACCTGCTTTTAGCTATCCATATCCTGGAGTTGTCTTGGAATTGCATGTTTAGAGCGCAGATAAGACACATACAGTACATTACAAATCATTTTTCTTTTCCTGCAGTGAAAAGGTTGAAGATCATAAGACACTTAGAGCAAGTAGAGGTCGAGGAGGATGGAACTGCAGTGTTCAGCTGTGAACTGAATCACGAGTCACCCAGTGTCCAGTGGCTGCTCAATGACCGAGTCCTATACACCAACCACATCAACAAAATCCAGAATTCTGGAAAAGCATACAGTCTGATTTTAAAACGACTAGCTCCTCAAGAGAGCCGTGTAACATTCAAAACATTTGATATCAGCGAGTCTGCGTTCCTCAGGGTCAGAGGTGAGGTTTTCAGTTACCACGGGACTAGGAAAACAAGATTTTAGAATAAACTGCTGTCCAACTACTCTACATTTAAAGCAGAGACACAAGAATTAACAACTGATATCAGATATTTTGTTTGTGTCAAGCAATTCTTAAAGGAATATCAATCAATTATGGAAATATTTTCAATACTTTCAGAGCACTACTTCTTGTAGAGTTTTTCCCTTTACGTGTAACTTTAGCAGAGCTGTGCGAGTTCATGCATAAAATTATTATTATAATTTTTTTTCCCCAAAAATAAACATACTATAACAACCCATTTCAGGCCACACAGACAAACTATCAATTCAAAACACTGATGACACAAAACTAATCATTCAGTTCCAGTTATTATAATTCTCAAGGTTTAAGGACTATCTTTACATTGTCCCTTCTCTATTAGTATGAGAACATATTTTTTTCTATATTTTCTATTGTATCTATAGCAGAAATGTATAGGAAATTAATAACAATTTCTTATTGTACATCATAATGTTGTGATGCCTAAATTCACTTTAGTATGCACATTGTTTACTTTTTATGGTGTTAACTTTTTTTTTGGAACAAAGTAGTATAGATTTCTGATATGAGCCATTTATCAGTTATCGGATGGAATTTCGTTGCTATATGACATTTGCTCTATATGTCTCTTAGAGAAGCCGACTAGGAAAACAAGATTTTAGAATAAACTGCTGTCCAACTACTCTACATTTAAAGCAGAGACACAAGAATTAACAACTGATATCAGATATTTTGTTTGTGTCAAGCAATTCTTAAAGGAATATCAATCAATTATGGAAATATTTTCAATACTTTCAGAGCACTACTTCTTGTAGAGTTTTTCCCTTTACGTGTAACTTTAGCAGAGCTGTGCGAGTTCATGCATAAAATTATTATTATAATTTTTTTTTTCCAAAAATAAACATACTATAACAACCCATTTCAGGCCACACAGACAAACTATCAATTCAAAACACTGATGACACAAAACTAATCATTCAGTTCCAGTTATTATAATTCTCAAGGTTTAAGGACTATCTTTACATTGTCCCTTCTCTATTATTATGAGAACATATTTTTTTCTATATTTTCTATTGTATCTATAGCAGAAATGTATAGGAAATTAATAAAAATGTATTGTACATCATAATGTTGTGATGCCTAAATTCACTTTAGTATGCACATTGTTTACTTTTTATGGTGTTAACTTTTTTTTTGGAACAAAGTAGTATAGATTTCTGATATGAGCCATTTATCAGTTATCGGATGGAATTTCGTTGCTATATGACATTTGCTCTATATGTCTCTTAGAGAAGCTAGCAGTGTTTCTCAGGTCACTGGAGGACGTAGCAGGTGAGGAACGTGGTGAAATCCTTTTGCAGTGTGACGTTTCCAAGCCATCAGTGACACCTGTCTGGAGGAAAGATGGTGAAATTCTGACCACCAATGAGAAGTATGAGATTCTCCATGTGGGAAAGTCATTGACTCTTATAATTCGCAAGCTGAGAAAGGACGACAGAGGAGAGTACAGTTGTGATATTGGCTGCAGCCAAACTAAAGCGAAAGTCATAGTTCATGGTAGGTTTTAACATCTATATTTGAATCTAATTAAAATTAGATATAATTAATTTGAACAAAAATAAATTTTATTTAATGTGAGGGACTTTTTTTAGACCTGCACATTACCATTGTCAAACGCATACGGACAACAACTGTGCTGGAAGGGGAAAGCTGCAGCTTTGAGTGTGTCCTGTCCCATGATATCATTGATGAAGCATCGTGGATTTTGAATGGCCAACTGATTGTGAGCAATGGACAGATCATAGTCGCTAACAAAGGGTGCAAATACACAATGAGCATTCAGGAAGTTACAATATCTGATGCCGGCGAAGTGGTCTTTACCATTAAAGAGCTCAGCTGCAGGACTATGCTGTTTGTGAAAGGTGAGACCCCTTATTATTTAAATATCACACATTTTACAAGTATTGCTCATTTTCTGTCTCTTTTGTTCTCAGAGAAACCTGTGAGAGTTTTTAGGGATATGCTAAATGTTAAAGCAACACCTGGTGAAGATCCAGAGCTCAGCTGTGAGATCACGAAACCTGATGCAACAGTTAAATGGCTGAAAAATGGGCGGCTAATTAGAGTCAGCCCAAAATATGAAATTACCCAAAATAATTATCTGGTGAAGCTCATCATCCATAATGCAGCTATAATGGACTCAGGAGAGTACTGCTGTGAGGCTGATGGGATTGCTACAAGGGCGAGATTAGATGTCAGAGGTAAATACTCATTTATTACACTTGTTTTTAATTTTTCCCAGTGCAAAAACTTTGTTCATTCTACTGAGTGCCATAAACTCTGTTAATCTTTTCTCGTTGTGAATTCAGACTTGCAACATACATTTGCAAAGGAACTGAAGGATATGCGTGCAGAGGAAAAGGGTATGGTGACCATGGAGTGTGAAACCAGGAGGCCTGCTGCTACTGTGACCTGGTTAAAAGGCCTAATGGTGCTCAGCTCGGGACAGAAGTACATGATGAAGAAGAAAGATGTTGTCCTCATTCTGACCATCTTCAATCTGGAGAAAAGTGACTGTGCTGTCTACACCTGTGATGTTGGGACAATGCAGAGCAGGGCTTTACTTACAATTCAAGGTAGGCAAAGTAGATTGGTCTTTATTGACTTAAAATAATAAATGTCATAAAAATATAATATAATAATAAGGTTGTAAATCTGAGATTACTAGATGTTATGTTACAAGAATGGTAACATTTGGACACTATGGGCCAGTTTTACTAACAGCTTGTGCCAGTAGAAAACCGTCTTTTGGCATTAAAATAGTACTGTGATGAATTAGCGAAAGGCATGGACACAGTTATTTTAGTGCCTGACCTTATTGAATATGCATTTGTAGGAGTTTCCCTTTCAGACGCAAAAGTTATGGGAGGAGAGTATTCAAATGAATCACGCGACACGTTTTACTAACGTTTGCGCTCGTATTTGCGCCATTATTTAACATCCAAAAAAAGCATGTCTTAAACTATTTTGCGCTTGAAATGGCTGCAATTATTGTTGCTGGAGGAGGCACCGCAGAGAACAGAGAGTGCGTGGTAGAAGGGAGAGGATTTTTTCCACACGTATTAATTTATTTTGAATGCCACACTCTAAAAAATGTTGGGTTAAATGCAATGTTGTTTTGACCCAACGGTTGGGTTAAATGTTTAACCCAACCTTCTGGGTGGTAACCCAACCGCTGGGTCAAAACAACCCAATTGCTGGGTTTGTCCCTATTTTACCCAGCACTGGGTTGCATTTAACCCAGCATTTTTTAAGAGTGCAGAGGAACACATTTCGTTTGCATATCATATTGTTTGCCAAGCCATGTTATTTTTAATTTGCTTCAGGATATAAAAGACGCCTTGGAACCTAGTCACGCAATGACGCAGCTCTATCAAAACTTCAAGCAAACCTTCATTTTTTGGCCTCCGGTTCTTTTCAACGTACTGTGGCTTCTTTATTTCTTTATTCTTTATTTGCGACTACGCTAATTTGCCCTGTGCTTGGTATATTGCGTTGGTCGATATATAAATGAGATGTTTGCGTCTGTGTTCTTTATTTTGTGTATTGTTAGTAAATCACCCGCAGAAATTTCCACTCCCATTGGCGCTGTTTTGGAATTGCGCTGTCGTGCTAATTTGCCCTGTTTAGTAAAACTGGCCCTATGCATTTTAAGACATGTTCAGTTTTTATGCATCTGTCATATTTTTCATATGAATCTGGCCCTCAGGTCAAAAAGTGGTCATTGTGGATGAACTAGAAGATAAAGAGTGTCTAGAAGGAGATACCATCACCTTTAAGTGTCGGATCTGCCCAAGTGACTACACTGATGTCAAATGGTACCTGGATGAGACCTTGCTCTACACTAATGATCTTAATGAGATCAAGATGATACCTGGTGGATACCACACTCTTACCTTCAAACAGCTTGCACGTAAAGACACCGGCACCATCTCCTTCGAGGCTGGGGACAAAAGATCATACGCATCACTATTAGTTAGAGGTAACTGTCATAAAACCTGACACTTGACAAGATGTGGATAACTATTAAAAATTCTCATAAGGACACCTTTACAAAAGATACATTGAGATGAAACTGTCAGTTTCTTTTACTGCTTTGGTATTAAAAATAGAAATGTATGTATAATTTCTGACAACTCAAAAGAGGAATTTTAAATCAGAAAGTTATTTTAAAGAGTCTTATGTTTAAACAATTTTTTTCGTCTTTGTATTTACTATTAAGTAAAAAAAAAAGTGAAACAAAAGGCAATATAGATAGTGTACAGCAGGGGTGCCCAACCCTGTTCCTGGAGATCTACTTTCCTGCGGAGTTCAGCTCCAACCCTGATCAAACACAACTGAACCAACTAATTAGGATCTGAAGGAGCACTTGATAATTACAGACAGTTGTATTTGATTAGGGTTGGAACTGAACTATGCAGGAAGGTAGATCTCCAGGAACAGGGTTGGGCACCCCTGGTGTACAGCATACAATTGAAATGTATGTATACAAATGAGGTTACACTTTATTTTAAGGTGTCCTCGTTACAGTGTAATTATACATTTAAGTACTGAGTAATATTAATTAACTACACATACTTACTATATGGTTAGGGTTAGGATTACGGTTTGTCTTAGGGTTACATGCAATATGTGTAACAAGGACACCTTAAAATAAAGTGTTACCAAAATTGATTGTCTTTGTAATACAACTTATTTGAATTACAGAGAGACGCCCCACGATAACTAAAGCATTGGAAGACACAGAAGCAATCGAAGGAGGAAGTTTGGTGCTGTTATGCAAGACCTCAAAGCCATGTCATATTGTTTGGTACAAAGATGGCTGTTTAATCTGGAATTCCTCAAAGTACTTAGTGAGTCGATCGGGAAATGAGGCCAGGCTGGCCATCCGTGATGTGAAAGACAGTGACGCGGGTGTGTATGAGTGCGATGCAGGATCTGTCAGCACTAAAGCCACCGTGACTGTTAAAGGTATTTCAAACGTCTCTTTTCTGCAATTTACCACCAAGTTTTTTTTTAATTTGGTTGAAATTTGAAATCTTTATGTTTGTTTCACATTAGTTATTCCTGCTGAGTTTACAAAAGCGCTTCAGAACCAAGAGGTCAAAGAGGGAGAGAGTGTAACGCTGATGTGCGAATACTCTATACCCGGGGTCCAGTTTGTGTGGCGCAAAGGACCCGAGACGCTAAAATCTAGTGAGAAGTATCACATGAGGCAGAGGAAATCTTGCATTTCTCTTATAATACACAATCTGAAGCCAGAAGATTCAGGGAATTACACATGCATTTGCAGAGACCAAAGAACTATGGCTACTCTTACAGTCAATGGTATTGATATTGATTGCTATGAAAATGAAATTATAGTATTCAGCTTTGATCTTGTAGCTTTACTTATGCCATTTCATCCATTCCAGCGGTTCCTATATCATTTATTAAAGAGCTCAAGAACCAAGAGACAGATGAAGGTAAAAATGTGATATTACGCTGTGAGCTTTCTAAAGCTGGAATCCCAGTGGAATGGTTGAAAGGTGAACAAACTCTCTTGCCTGGGGAGAAGCATCAGATGAGGCACATAGTCACCATACTAGAGCTGGTAATCAGAAGTCCAGTTCCTGAGGACAGTGGAACATACATCTGTGTGTGTGAGGATCAAAGGACCAAAGCCATTGTCAAAATACGAAGTAAGACAAGATGTTAAATATATAGAATTTGCTTTTCCAGTACTCTGAATGCTGAAAATGGAGCTTATATATCCTTTTGTACTTCCTTAGCTCAACCTATCGCGTTCAAACAGAAGTTAAGAAATCAAATGGCTGAAGAGGGAAACAGTATAATCTTACACTGCGAGATATCCAAATCAGACACCCCTGTCCAGTGGAGAAAAGGAAGCAACCTTCTCAGATCTGGGGAGAAGTACAAAATCAGGCAGAGAGGCTGCATGCTAGAGCTGAAGATTTTTAATTTGACGCAAGATGATAGCGGAGTCTATAGCTGTACGAGCGAAACTGCTGAGACATCAGCCAACATCACAGTTAGCGGTAAGTTAGTTCAATTCACTAGTAAGGGTTACCAATAAGGAAAAAGGAACACTAAGGAGTAAGGATTTTTTGTGCTTACCCAGTCAATCCAGTAGTTCAGTAATGCTAAAATATAATTATTGTTGAATTTTATGGATTCAAAGATAGATAGCACAACATTTTCATCAAAAGCAAGTCTTTGGGAACAACTAGAAACTATTTGGAAGTCAATAACAACAGAGACTGTGGAAAATTACATAAAAACAATGCCAGCAAGAATGCAAGCTGTTATCAAGGCCAAAGGAGGCCATACAAGATACAAGTTTTTTGGTTATTATGTGTGAATAAAGACTATAGTTGTTTCAGTTTGTTATTTGCCTAATAAATGACTATACAGTTTTTAGGTTTAAAGTTTTGACAGATTCCTAAAATATTTGTTTTCTGTCTTTATGACAGGTGGTCGAATAAATTTGTTAAGCACGTGTGTGTGTGTGTGTGTGTGTGTGTGTGTATAAACACACACACACACACACACACACACACACACACATAAAGAGAGCACATACAGTCATCTGTTCACTTGTTCGTTTGCCAAAGTTGAAAGAACAAAAAAATAAGGATGTTCTTATTTGTTCCTTTTTGTTCTGTAGCTCAACCTGTTACTTTTAAAGAGAAGCTGAAAAACCTGGTAGCCGAGGAAGGGAAGATGATAACATTGCACTGTGAGCTTTCTAAAACCGGTGTCCCAGTAGAATGGTGGAATGGAGAGGAACTGCTCCAGCCTGGAGAGAAGTATAAGATGAGAGAACGAGACACATCAGTTGAGCTGATCATCTGTGAGGCCATGCCTGAAGACAGTGGAGTCTACAGATGTGTCTGTGGAGACCAAAAGACCAAAGCTACAGTCAAAATTGTTGGTAAGATTTTGTTTCATTGATTTGTTTTCATTATTATAAAATGTATGTTATTATAAAATTCATATGGTGGTTTCACAGGTGCTCCTGCTAGTTTTAAGCAAAACCTTAAGAACCAAGAAGCTCTGGAAGGCAAATCTATAACCCTTCACTGTGAGCTTTCCAAAACTGGAGTACCTGTGGAATGGTGGAGAGGAGATAAACCGCTCCTTCCAGGGCCACAGTACCAGATGAGGCTGGATGGAAAGACTGCAGAGTTGGAAATAACTAATGTTTTCCCTGATGATGCTGGGATATACAGCTGTGTGACTGGAAGCCAAAAGACCACAGCTGAAGTGAATGTCAAACGTAATGTCAAAAACATGTTAAATATATACTGTATACTGTACAGTACCGTTCAAAAGTTTAAAGTCAATAGATTTTTTTAAATGAATAATTTTATTCTGCAAAGCTGCTTTAAATTGATCAAAAGTGGAAGTAAAGGCATTTATAATGTTACAAAAGATCTCTCAAATAAATACTGTTCTTTTTTTAACAAAGAATCCGAAAAAAAGTATCATACTTTCTGCAGCTTTTTACGGTAGTGTACAGTATATATCATATGATTACTGCCTGTGAGTTCAATTGTTCATATTAAAAGACCTGTCAATGTTTTCTCAGCACTTCCAATTACTTTCAAACGAGAGCTTCAGAATCAGATATCTACAGAGGGTGAGAGTGCAGTATTTACCTGTGAACTTTCAAAGCCTGGTGCTCCAGTTGAGTGGAGGAAAGGTAGAGTGATGCTGAAAAGCGGAGCCAAATATCATATGACGCTTGAGGGGCGATTAACCAAACTGCTGATAAATAATCTTGTTGAGGGTGATGCGGGAAATTACACCTGCAAAGCCAAAGATTCACAATCGACAGCCGAATTGACGGTTCAAGGTAAGATCCAATCCGTTATAAATATAAACAAAGTACTGCTGAATTTTCTGACATTATGGATTTCATATGAATTTCATTTTCATCGCCATTTGATTTTTGTCTAGCGTTGAGTGATCCAGTTCTTCCATTTCATTAAAAATATCCATTTCTTCCACAGCTAAAATAGCACTCTGTCATGACATTACATCAGCCACGTTCACAGGTTTAATTAATCTCTCAACAGTGATATAGATCACTGTTGGATTTTCATTACATGATGATTCATACCCTCAAATTACACTCATTATTTGACATCAGAAGAATCTTGCTATCTGAAATCCCTTTATTTATTATTAGTTGATTAGTTTCTACTACAGTAGAAAGGTAGGCTTTATTTTTGATCTTGACCCTTTCATTACAGCATGGGCTAGTTATAAAGATCTGTGGTGTGTTGGTGTACATAATACATCAATAAAATGAACCTCAATAGATGACATTTCTTTGACGACTTTACCTGATGTAATTATTAAAGGTGATTGCTCTCAAGCACAAAAAGTATACACTGGTACATTTTTTGTAGCTCTTTGCTGATGGAAAGACACAACATTCACCCTTTTGGCTAGTCTATAACCTTCATGAATACAGGCTTACTCAATTCTTGGCTTTCTAAAGGACTCCCTGCTACCTTTAAAACAAATTTGAAGAACCAAGAAACTCAGGAGGGGAACGGTGTCAATCTGCACTGTGAACTTTCTAAGGCTGGAGTTCGAGTAGAGTGGTGGAAAGGAGAAGAACTGCTCAAGACTGGAGAAAAATATCAGTTGAGACAGAAAGAAGCAACAGTAGAGTTGTTAATAAGGAAGGCACAACCAGAAGACAGTGGAGTGTATCGCTGCATATGTGGAGATCACAAGACTGAAGCCACCATCAAAGTTAATGGTATGATCCAAGATGTTTTCATATGCAGGTTCCTGCATTTAAGAATTACCCAATTTGTTGTTAGAAATTAAAAACTTATCAGATCATGCAACATCTTCATCGTTTTACTGCTCTGTGTAGCTCTCCCCATCACTTTCAAACAAGAACTTAAGAATCAAGAGGGTGAAGAAGGGAACAACATCACATTGCGCTGTGAACTCTCTAAGGCCAGTGCTGATGTGAAGTGGTTGAAGGGAGAGGAAATCCTAAAGCATGGAGAAAAGTTCCAGTTGAGACAGATAGCAACTAAAATGGAGCTCGTTATCAGAAAAGCCATACCTGAAGACAGTGGAGTCTACTTTTGTGTATGCCCTGATCAGACATCCATAGCTACAGTTAAAATCAATGGTACAAAACTTAAGCAATTTATTAAATAAATGCAGACTTTTAGGTAAAATATTCTGCTTAGGTGACCCAGATATTTTTTGCGATTTCTTAGCTCTCCCGATCACTTTCAAACAAAACTTGAGAAATCAAGAAGCGGTGGAAGGCAACACAGTTGCTTTCCGTTGTGAGCTTTCCAAACCAGGAGCTATGGTGAAATGGTGGAGGGGTGAAGAGTTGCTGCAGGTTGGAGAAAAGTACCAGATGAGGACTGAGGGACGGATTGCTGAACTTCTCATTAAAAATGTCAACTCTGAAGATGTCGGCTTCTACAGCTGCACTACCGGAAAGGAAAAAACGACAGCGGAGGTCAAAGTTAGGGGTACGCTATAATACTGCAAGATCTGATCTTGATCTTTCATTAATTTTGCAATTACTTAGTAACTTTCCTCTTTTGGATTTTGGAACTTGAATACATTTTGTATGGTTTTCATAGCTCTACCTGTCACTTTTAAACGAGAACTTCAAAACGAAGTAACCAAAGAAGGTGGGCAAGCTGTGTTTAGCTGTGAGCTCTCTAAACCTGGTGCTCAAGTCGACTGGAGAAAAGGAAGAGTTATTCTCAAGCCTGATGACAAATATGAAATGAAGCAAGAGGGTACATTCACCAAACTGGTCATACGTAATGTTGAAGCAAGTGATGCTGGGAACTATTCGTGTAAAACCAAGGATTCTGAGTCAACTGCTGAGCTAACCGTGAAGGGTAAGGCATGCAGGCTTTTTGCAGCAGCAGCTTGGCACATTTTGTCTTTCTTGGCTTGCTGCTATTACATTGTATTGCTTCTTGTGCTGTAGTTTTCAGCTTTGCTGTGCTTTGATGGCCTGCATGGCTTTGTAGTAAAATAATATGGCATACCTATACCTTTTTGTTAATGTTTCCAGTTCCACCTATCACTTTTAAAGTCAAGTTGAAAAATCAGGAAGTTGAAGAAGAAAATAAACTTGTGTTGCACTGTGAGCTTTCAAAAGCTGGATGTCCTGTTGAATGGAGGAAGGGGGAAGAGCTTCTTAGGTCAGGATATAAATATCAAATCCGAGAACATGATGTTACAAGGGAGCTGATCATCACAAAGGCCATGCCTGAAGACAGCGGAGTCTACAGCTGCATTTGTGGGGAGCAGAAGACCAAAGCCACGATCCGAGTATTCGGTATGGATGAAAGTTTTAGAGAAAATTGAGCTTTTATTGTCGCTTGAGCTCACTATGAGCTAACGTGTTACTGTGCTACTCTTCAGCCACACCAGTAACGTTCAAACAAAACCTGAAGAACCAAGAGGCCCCTGAGGGAGGTGTTGTTATTCTGCATTGTGAGCTCTCCAAAGCTGGGGTACCAGTAGCATGGTTAAAAGGGGACGAGGAGCTCTGCAATGGGACTAGATACAAGATCAAGCAGGAGGGATTGGTTGCCGAATTACACATTAAAAATGTTCTTCCCATGGATGTTGGGGAATACAGCTGCATTGTTGGAGACCAGAAGACTACAGCTGAAGTTAATGTTAGGGGTAGGTCCAATGCCACTTTAATGGGTACACACTCTCAATGGGTGCACACAAGATCGTTCTGATTTTTGAATAATCGGATTCAGCCAAATCAGATTTTGTCATTGCAAATTAACTAATGTTGTCTAAAGACACCTGTTTGTGTCTACACCCATTACCTTGACAACATTTTCACAGTGCTGTAAACACGCTATGATACCCAAGGCTGGAAATGATCGAATGTGGGGGACCAGATAGTGAATTTAGAGGGGGGGGATGCCATTTTGATTCAAACTAGTTATATGTTTAAGGAAAATTATGAGGATTTTGTTTCCACAAAATAGCCTCAAGAAAGCTGTACGAGTTATAAAATTAACACGTTTTTTCTTTAATTCTTAATTTATAACATTACAGAAAATTTCTTTTTAACTTGTTAAATAGAAACTTTTATAGATAACTTGTTTTTCATGAAAGTTATAGATAACTTGTTTTTCATCAAAGATATAGATAACTTGTTTATCATCAAATAATTTGTTTTAATGTATACAAAATATTAAGCTGCACAACTGTTTTCATTATTCATAAGAAATGTTTATTTTGCAGCAAATTATTATTAGATAGATGCATGTTAGAATGATTTCTGAGTTTGGATCACGTGACACTGAAGACTGGAGTAAAGGCAGCTGAAAAATCAACTTTGCCATTACAGGAAATGTAAAATGTAGTAAAAAAGAAAACAGTTATTTCAAATTGCAATAGTATTTAGGTGTTGTTATTCTGCATTGTGAGCTCTCCAAAGCTGGGGTACCAGTAGCATGGTTAAAAGGGGACGAGGAGCTCTGCAATGGGACTAGATACAAGATCAAGCAGGAGGGATTGGTTGCCGAATTACACATTAAAAATGTTCTTCCCATGGATGTTGGGGAATACAGCTGCATTGTTGGAGACCAGAAGACTACAGCTGAAGTTAATGTTAGGGGTAGGTCCAATGCCACTTTAATGGGTACACACTCTCAATGGGTGCACACAAGATCGTTCTGATTTTTGAATAATCGGATTCAGCCAAATCAGATTTTGTCATTGCAAATTAACTAATGTTGTCTAAAGACACCTGTTTGTGTCTACACCCATTACCTTGACAACATTTTCACAGTGCTGTAAACACGCTATGATACCCAAGGCTGGAAATGATCGAATGTGGGGGACCAGATAGTGAATTTAGAGGGGGGGATGCCATTTTGATTCAAACTAGTTATATGTTTAAGGAAAATTATGAGGATTTTGTTTCCACAAAATAGCCTCAAGAAAGCTGTACGAGTTATAAAATTAACACGTTTTTTCTTTAATTCTTACTTTATAACATTACAGAAAATTTCTTTTTAACTTGTTAAATAGAAACTTTTATAGATAACTTGTTTTTCATGAAAGTTATAGATAACTTGTTTTTCATCAAAGATATAGATAACTTGTTTATCATCAAATAATTTTTTTTAATGTATACAAAATATTAAGCTGCACAACTGTTTTCATTATTCATAAGAAATGTTTATTTTGCAGCAAATTATTATTAGATAGATGCATGTTAGAATGATTTCTGAGTTTGGATCACGTGACACTGAAGACTGGAGTAAAGGCAGCTGAAAAATCAACTTTGCCATTACAGGAATAAATTACATTTTAAAATGTAGTAAAAAAGAAAACAGTTATTTCAAATTGCAATAGTATTTCACAAAATTACTTATATTTTTTATTCTATATATTTATATTACTCTATTTCCTGTAAAATAAATGCATCTTAGGTGAGCATAAGCTTAATAATGCTTCTTTCAAAAACATTAAAAATCTTACTGACCCCAAACTTTTGAATGGTCGTATATGTGAATTTTTTTATTTGAATAGGATCTGGTCATCTCAAAATTGCTCTGGAATAATGAAAAAAATCTCTCCTGAATCCTCAGCTAGGGTCCCCCAACTGAACCTCAGCCATTTCCACCATTATTGATACCCTCATGATCCTTTCATGAACCCTATATGATACCCTTCATGAATCACAGGGTCATACACACACAGTGTCATATCATATCATAAACTCTACCAATTAACATTCCAACATGATTTATAATTTGCAATTTTTCTCTCAAAATACGTTTGAGCTGTTGTTGAAATCATACTTCTTAAACCTCTCACAGCTGCTGCCTCTGTGTTCTTTGAGAAAGAGCTTGAGAGTCAAGAAGCAATGGAGGGGGATTCTGTCCTGTTTCGTTGTTTGCTCTCTAGCGATAATGCCCCAGTGACTTGGAGAAAAGATGCAAATCAGATCACACAGGGTGGGCGATATACCCTCCACCGTAAAGGTTCAACTCAGGAGCTCGAAATCAGGAAACTGAGAGTGCAGGATGCTGCCGTGTACTCATGCAGCGTCAGAGGCAAGAACACCTCTGCGACCCTCAGAGTGATAGGTAAATCAAAACAAACCTACATAAAAAGTTAATAATAAAGTGTAGCTTGCCTTCAAACATAAACTCCAAGGACTCCTGTGAATTCACAACAGAGGTGTTCCTTTATTCGGTTCCTTTCCAGAGCGTGTGAGGATTGTGAAAGGACTGCGTGACTTGACAGTTACTGCAGGCGAGAGCGCACACTTTATGTGCGAGCTTTCACATGAGAACATCCTTGACGGGATTTGGTGGCTTGGTTCCAATGAACTTCAGGAGAACGAGATGAACCAGATGAGTATCTGTGGTCGAGAACATCACTTGGTGCTCACTATGACCACAACCGAAGAGTCAGGTGATGTGTCCTTTGAGGTGGGAAATGAAAAGACCTCTGCTCGTCTTTGCGTGAACAGCAAACCTACAGGTGAGTGTAAAAATCCTTATTGCAAATCATTTCTTTAATTTATTTACTATTAACAAGCAGACGAACTGATATATAAAAGAAACTGATATACCAAAATGTAATGTATCCTTTTTAACTGCATACTCTAAAGTGCATTCTCTCATTGTAGTTTTCATAGAGGAAAGACTGAAGGACATGATCATTTTTGAGGGAGATTCTGCCACCCTATCCTGTGTGACTTCTGACACCTGCACACCTGTCACCTGGAAACGAAATAATGTAACCCTGCTCTCTGGGGAAAAGTATGAACCTCTGAAACACGGGAAACGTAATGTTCTTCTGATTCATAAAGTCAGAAAAGAGGATGCTGGGATTTACATGTGCGATACAGGAGACATGCAGAGTAGTGCTACTCTTACAGTCAAAGGTAGGAACAGCTTGAAACATTTGCTCCAACTTTAAAGATTATTATTTTAATCTATTACTTTTAATAAGATAATAAAATAAATCATTATTTGATATATTTTATTTATATTTAAAAATGAATTAAATGATCAGTTTTAGTATGTCTTTGTTTGAAACATGATTTATTTTTAAATTCATACATTCATGACCTATTTTTTATTGTTAATTGGTTCTCCTAGTACTTCATATTTCAATAATAAAATTTAGAAGTATTGTTTTATAGAAGGAAATTGTGAAATTGTCACGTATACCTAAGGGGCACTTTGCTTACTCTCAGAACGTCCTTTGTTTTTCTGCCGGGAGCTCCAAAACCAAGAAGCAGAAGAAGGTGAGACTACTTTCTTGTGCTGTGAATTGTCTCAACCTGGAGTTGCAGTTGAGTGGAAGAAGGGAGCAGTTCTTCTTAGGCCTGGTAACAAATATGATATGAAACAGGATGGATGTGAGCTTCAGCTACAGATCAATGACCTCACAAGTCAAGACAGTGGGGCCTACAGGTGTTGTGCCGATGGCATTGAGACAAGGGCTAGTATTACTGTAAAAGGTAATACCAAAATAATTGCTTGTCTATATATATTTCATTTGATGGTGAGAATTTAATTTATGCGTGAACTGAATGTCAGTGAATGAGTGGAAATATTCAGTAATACTTTATAAAATGCATTAATTGCACTTAGTACTTTATATAATTCATTAAATAATGTTTTTTTTGCATTGTGAACATTTGTTTTACGACTGTTTCTTCTCCCCTTGTGCCACAGAACGTCCTTTATTTTTCCATGAAGAGCTCCAAAACCAAGAAGCAGAAGAAGGTGAATCAGCATTCCTGTGCTGTGAGCTCTCTAAACCTGGAGTAGCAGTACAGTGGAAAAAGGGGGCAATGCTGCTGAAGAATGGACAGAAGTATGAGATGACGCAAGAGGGCAATGAAGTACAACTTCAGATCCATGATCTCACAAGTCAAGATAGTGGTATCTACAGATGTTGTGCTGGCAACATAGAGACACGGGCTAATATTATTGTTAAAGGTAGGAATGCACAATAAAAATACGGTTATGGTATATATTTAGATTCGTTGTTGTAGTATTAGTCGATATTGGATATTTTATTGTTCATGCCCCCTATTTTTACATTCAATGTAGATCACGTTAAACACTGTGAATCAGCATTCCTGTGCTGTGAGCTCTCTAAACCTGGAGTAGCAGTACAGTGGAAAAAGGGGGCAATGCTGCTGAAGAATGGACAGAAGTATGAGATGACACAAGAGGGCAATGAAGTACAACTTCAGATCCATGATCTCACAAGTCAAGATAGTGGTATCTACAGATGTTGTGCTGGCAACATAGAGACACGGGCTAATATTATTGTTAAAGGTAGGAATGCACAATAAAAATATGGTTATGGTATATATTTAGATTCGTTGTTGTAGTATTAGTCGATATTGGATATTTTATTGTTCGTGCCCCCTGTTTTTACATTCAATGTAGATCACTTTAAACACTAATAGTTATAAAACATTATTAAATGTCATCTTTAGCAAATCTCATTTTCATAATGTACATTATAATGCTGTGATGCATAAATTAATTTGTAGCATTTAAAACTATTCATTTGAGTTTGTAATGTTTTATTTTTAGTGTGAAAAAAATATATAGAATTTTAATACTGATCATGTATCAATTATCAGCCATATAATGAAAATAATAATTTGTTGGTATCAGTCAACAATTTTACTATCAGTGCATCCTTAAATGTTTGCAACAGAGTTTGTGTATAATAATTATAATATAGGTTTTTAATTAAAGGGGTCATATAATGTTGCTAAAAAGTACATTATTTGGTGTATTTGGTGTAATGAAATGTGTTTATGCGGTTTAAGGTTAAAAAAACACATTCTTTTCCACATACTGTACATTACTGTTTCTTTTCTATGCCCGCCTTTCTGAAATGCGTCGATTTTTACTAAGCTCATCGGTCTGAAAAGCAAGGTGTGCTGTGATTGGCCAGCTATCCAGTGCGTTATGATTGGCCGAATACCGCAAGCGTGTGATGGAAATGTTACACCCCTACCATACTGTGATGATACCCTGTCAGGCCGGAGCGATGATTCAAAATTCCTGAAAACCCATTATAAACGAGGCATTCATAACATCCAGTGGGGACATAATTATGAATTATAATGACTTATACTGTCTTTTTACGTGTTGCGTTGTATCGCGCCGCGTAAACATAAAACCATGTTTGCATTTGTGATCGGAGAAATGACAAACAACAAGCCCTACTCTACACTGCCCAAAAAACTCGCTTTAAATATAAAAAATATAAAATATAAAAACTCTTTAAATATAAAAAACGTACTTACAGTATGTGAGTCAGAACAGCTGGCATTGTAGTCTACTCTACCAGGATCAGGGAACGGTCCTCCATAAAATGTGCTGCACACATCTGAATATTTGGGATGAAGTGTTCTGGAACAGTGTTGTAAATACAACTTAACCACTGATTTCTAGTCGTGTCCATTTTTGGAAGGCCAAACAAAGTAGTTTCGCTTTCACAACGAAACGCAGCGTCACACATGGTGGCCTAGAGTGAGCAGAGGCCAGGGGCTAGAGTGAGGAACGGCCGGAGGGCTAGAGTGAGCAGAGGCGGCGTGCTTGAGAACGGCGAGGCCGGCGGATTCGACGAAGGAGCGTCCGGAGGGCTTGCGGCAACCACATGTGACGACCCCGGGCTGGACTCCGCTTCGTCCACGGTGAAAGCCAATCCGGTGATCCACAGCGCAA